AGTATGAGTTTGGACAAGCCAAAATGAAATATGAATCAAAACAACTCAACCCAAATTCGTTCATTTTAAAAAAGTATTTCAACAAATTGGATTGAATTGATTACGAATTAGACATATCAATCCAATTAATCTATTTATTTTATTAAACTCTTTTTCAATGGATGGTGGAAATAGGGGGGCTGTGGAGGGGGAGATGGTGGTAGACTTATAGAAGAGGCATGGTAATGGTGGTGATGATGGGATTGATTGTTGAGACGTTTCCTTGCTTTATTGCTTCAATCCATTTAAATTCAATTTTAAATAAATTCTTAATTAATATGCCTAGCTTGTTTATAAATTTGAACAAGGTGCTCAAGTCTGCAAAATAATAGGTAAGATGACAACCAAATTATTAAGGTAACTTATTCCATGTTCAAATTATTTTAGTGTCCTTTATCTCAAGTTATGACCATTAAGGTGTAGATAATTTTAATTTGATTATTTCCATTTACCATATTTTATAGTCACTTGATAAAAACATATTAGTTATTAGAAGAAAATTTATTTAGTAGTTCAACATCCTCAATTTCAATTTTATTTTATTTTTATAGTTGACCGCATAAAAGAAATTTGAGATTAATCTCACTTTCGAAGATCTATCTTTTTGGAAGTAAAAAAAGGTGGGACTTCAAAATTTTATTTTTAGCCTCCGTTTGAGAAGTGGATTGATTTTTTGACTTTTTGATTTTTTTGACTATATGAGCCTGGGCTCAAAAGCTTGGTTTGGGAAGGGCTTTTGGCTTTTTGGCTTTTTTGATTTTTTTGTGAGAGAAGAGTGTAATGATTATGAGGTTGTATGGGATGTTTTGTCTGTTGTGGCTCATGAGCCTATTCTGTCTTTTATGGCTCATTGAGCCAAAAAAGCCCAATGAGCCCTTGCCAAACCAACCCTTAGCCAGTTATGGCTTTGTTTCGGGAAATAGGTTGATTTTTTAATTATTTGACTTTTTGACTATTTTAATTTAGGGTTAAAAATTTTGTTCGACTTAGATTTTTTAACTTTTATGAAAAAAAAAAAAAATTATGATTTAAATGTACCATTTTATCTAATTGACTTTTTAATCTATTTTACTATTTTATAACTATTTTAGCCGCCCCCAAATAACTATTCTCACAACATTTTTCTACTACTTTTCATTCCTCTAAATACACTATACTATTTCAACAATGATAGAGACCACTAATTTTGGAGCTCCCACTAATGACATGACACTCAATAAAAAAAGAAAAAAAATACAACACCAAGGCCAAAACATCAAATCATTCCTGGTGGGGCCCACTGCCACATCATTAGTGATAGCACTAATTAGTGCTCTCACTCATTTTTCATACTCTTTTTATATTTTATCATTTTTTTACTTTGATCTGTTACATTTTAAGTTTTTTCTTTTTAATTTACTTTTAAAGTTAATTCAAAATTAAATAAAAAATACCACATTGGCAATCACTTGATGTAAAAAAATATATATTATTAGGTTTGATTTTAGGATAAATTACAAATACACTCCCTGAAGTTTACTTAAAATACTAATTGCTCCCTAAAATACTTATTATCCCCTATGATTTGAAAAATTACAAATACCTCCCTGTCAGAATTTTTTATTTAACATAATTAATTGAAAAAGTAAAATTTCTAACTGTTCATCTATACAATAATAAAATTATCTGAATTATTAATTAAAATAAAATTTTAACATTATTAAAAAATTTATTAATTAACTTGATGATTTATTAATAAAATAACCTATTTATTATGAAATTAAAAATCTTAAGAGACATAATACTATTTCTAGAACCAAAAGAATAATTTGTAATTTAAATAAATCTCAGTTTGTAATTTACCCTTGATTTTAAGTGAAGGTTAGAGATCAATGACAGAACTAGCATAAGGCCTGGAAGGATCAAGGGCTCCCCTAGCTTTTAATATTTATACTATTACCCTTATATATAAAGTTTATATCTTATTTGTCCTTTATAAAATTATAATAGTGTACCTACTTAAATCATGTAAAATTTTTTATATTTTTAAATATTAAAAGTGTTTTATTATATATATATATATTTCGTCATTTTTGTACACTTTTAATTGGAAAGCCAATGGTCAAAATTGAATCAATTGATCATTTATTTCTCATTGTAGGGTTTGTTTAAATTGATTGTTTTTCTCCGTTATGGGATACTTTGTTAAGTTGATACTGACTTGTTAATCATAAATTTAGTTGAATTGTTGATTGTGAATTTATAAACCACGTTGATGTAATTATTATGAATCTCAACAATTGGTCCCAAAAAATATATAAATTTACGATATAGATATAGCGTTGTCTCTTATTGTAGTTTTTTTTTTTAAAATTTTATTTTAATGCTATGAATAATATGTGCTCATTCTACCTTGAATTTCTAGCTCCGCTACTATTAAATGTATAGGTTTTACTAATTGTTAATGTGACATTTCTTATCTAATTTTAAATAAAGATTAGCTTGAAAAATAAATTTTTAAAAAAATAAAATTTAAGTACTAAACTGAAAAAATAATAAAAATAGGGTAAATTACACTGACACTCCTGAAATTTGGTCTGATTACATCTCATCTCCTGACATTATAGAAATTACATTTCACTCCCGTGGTTAATAGTTTCATTTCACAAACCTCTTACTTATATAAAAGGCAACAACTCCTGATAGAAAAATAGAAGAAATTATATTTAAAAAAAAAAGTAAAGCAAAGGAAAGAAGAAAAAAAAAACAGAAAAAGTAAAGTAAAATAAGAAAAGAAAGAAGAGAGTGTATGAATTTAATGTCTTTTTAATACCAACGTTAATTCCGTCTAAATAATTACAATGACAATGGGGTAAGTGTAGTTTTCCAAACATCAATGAGTAATATGTATTAAACTTAAACCTGAGGGAGTGTAAGTGTAATTTACCCATAAAAATAAAAAGAATTAATTACATAAAAGTTTTATTTACAAAGGTTATGGTAGCTTAAGTCCTCTCAAAGTTTTTTGAACCAATAAGTCTTATTTAATAAACAACAATGATTCAGAGCACTAATTTTAGTGCTCTAATGGAGCATTAATGACATGGCAATGAGCAAAAAAGAATAAAATAAAAACAAATTAAGACTAAAATATCACATCACTGTGGGTGGAGTCCACTGCTAACTCATTAGAGCTAGCTTTAGAGCTCAAGAATTAGAGTTCCAAAGAATTTTTCTTTAGGAAAACTGAGAATATTATTATTATTTTTTTAATTTTTAAAATTAAGAACATTATCAATTTTGTATAGTAATGTTTCAAATAATTGTTTTACTAACTGATAAAAAAACAGAGCATGAGATTAAATGTTTTTATTCTTCTACTTATTGATTTGATTCAACTGTCCATTAAAATTGAGAACATTATAGTTTTTTCATTTTCAAAGTGTTTGTGTGTGTGTGTGTGTTTTGCATATCAATATTCTATCATCTTGCTCATTTATAAACACAAAATTTTCAGTTTTGCACCAAAAAATAATTCAATTTTTTGCACATAATTTTTTTTTTTAATTTGAAAGTTGATGTTGAAAATCAAAATAAATATCAAATCATCATGTTCTTTTATAGATAATTATAAATGATGAACAATCATTGTTTGAAAAGCAATTTCGATTATTAAAAATTTAATGGACTTGAAGGTCTAAAGAATCTTAATTAGGAATTAATGGAATACAAATTTATAAATTAAAACTTGTGTGTAAATGTCCAAAGTAGAAAAAGAAAACGGATAGGGTTATTGTTATGCTTAATTTATTATGATGATCCGAATTATTCATATTGTAAGGTATATCAAACAAATTATTCATAAAAAACAAAAAATAAAGTTAAGAATGAATGTCCTTTCAGTAATTAAACAGTCATATCAGTCGTTTAGAAACCATAGCAGTCATATGTGGTACATCCCATAGCAAACAATACAGTAGGTCTTTCTTACTACGAATAATTTCTCCACTAACTATAGATTCAAAACTTCATACAATATGGGGATCAGATTTTCTTCCCAATCTAAAAATAAATAAATAAATAAATAAATAAATAAATAAATAAATAAATAAATAAATAAATAAATAAATAAATAAATAAATAAATAAATAAATAAATAAATAAATAAATAAATAAATAAATAAATAAATAAATAAATAAATAAATAAATAAATAAATAAATAAATAAATAAATAAATAAATAAATAAATAAATAAATAAATAAATAAATAAATAAATAAATAAATAAATAAATAAATAAATAAATAAATAAATAAATAAATAAATAAATAAATAAATAAATAAATAAATAAATAAATAAATAAATAAATAAATAAATAAATAAATAAATAAATAAATAAATAAATAAATAAATAAATAAATAAATAAATAAATAAATAAATAAATAAATAAATAAATACTCACACACATAAATAAATAAATAAATAAATAAATAAATAACAGACATGCCAAAAAAATCAACAGCATGATAATTTTGACTTCACGTGAATTATCATTCAAATTATTTTTTCTTTTTCCGTTTAAACCAAAAAAAAAATAAAAAATAAAAAATAACAAATATATAATGCTAATAATTCACTTAATAATTTCTTGCTAATAATTCCACACCACGATATATCACAAGCAAATGTCGGCTACGTCCCATTTCGTAGCTTCAATACTGCTCTGTACGTGTAACTCTCTTATTGGTTCCCTCCATCCCGCGAAAGTCCTTACGAAACCCCTCAATTCCAAATCCCCATTTAATCCCACGTTTCTCTGCCACGTGTTCGGTCTACAATTCTACTGTGCCCACCCCACTCTCTGACACTCCATCACCTTCCTTTAATCTCTCAACACGTGTCCTACCTCTAAATTTCAAACTACATCACCTATATAAATAGGCACTAAATTCCACACTTCTATGCAAATCCAAATCCAAATCCAAATCCAAATACCAAATCTTCAACTGCCAAAATCTCAAAAAAGTAAAATAACTGTTTGGGTTTTTTAGATTTATTTCTATTTCCAATCTTTGTGGTTGTGTTTTGTTTTTTTGTTTTTTTGTCAATGATTTGTAAATCCGATGTTTCGACTCGCCGGAATCTGACTTTTCCGGCAGTTCGTCCCTGCGAATCCGTACCTCCGGTCACCCTTCTTGATTCACTGATCACTCTCGCATCGAATATATGCGAGTACAGATCAAAATTATTCTCAACAAACAATCGAAATGCGCGAGAATCGATTCGATTGATCGGAATTCTCTCGATTTTCTTCGAAGAAATCCGAGGAAATCGATCCGATCTCTGCGACTCAGTTGTCCTGAGCTTCTCCGAGCTTCACTTCATCTTCCAGAAGCTTCTGTTCTTGTTGGAAGATTGCACTCGGAGTGGTACTAGACTGTGGATGCTGATGAAGTCCAAGCACGTAGCGAGTCAGTTTCGAGTGATGATGAGAGCGATCGCAACCGCTCTCGATGTTCTTCCTTTGAGTTCCATTGATGTCTCGGTTGAAGCTATTGAATTTATTCAGCTGGCGATGAATCAAGTTCGGAAGACGAGATTTGTCGTCGATCCAGATGACAAATCAGCTTCCGAGCTTGTTTTATCGATTTTGGGGCAATTTGAAGGTAGAAATGTTCCGGATTCGAGTGATTTGAGGCGAGTTCTGAATCAATTGGGGATTCGAAGCTGGAACGAATGCAACAGAGAGATCAAGTTCTTGGACTCTGAATTGAATTTGGAGTATTTGAGTTCAGGGAAGAGAGATTTGGGGCTTCTGAGCAGTCTAATTGGGCTCATGAGCTACTGTCGAGGCGTGCTGTTCGACATCGTTGACACTGTATCCATTCATAAATCTACCCAAAAATCCAGCAATTTGGTGGTTAAACATGTTAACTTGGATGATTTTCTTTGTCCGATCTCTCTGGAGATCATGATCGACCCTGTGACCGTATCGACCGGGCATACCTACGATCGGTCTTCGATTCTGAAATGGTTCAAGGCAGGAAATTCAACTTGTCCGAAAACCGGTGAGAAGCTCAAGAGCACAGATCTAGTCCCAAATTTGGCTCTAAAGCGGTTAATTTCTCAGTACTGTTACGAATTTGCTATTCCAGTTGCTGAGAAGAGTAGCAAGAAAAAGGACATAACGAGGACTGTTCTTGCAGGGAGTGTAGCGGCCGGAGAAGCCATGAAAATGCTCGCCGATTTCCTCGTCGGCAGGCTTGAAACCGGGACCGACGTAGAGAGAAACAAAGCCGCTTTCGAGACTCGGCTTCTCACCAAAACAAGCATTTTTAACAGGTCTTGTTTGGCGGAGGCGGGTTCGATCCCACACCTATTGAAACTGCTCTCTTCAGCACATTCTTTAAGCCAAGAGAATGCAATTGCAGCTTTGTTAAACCTTTCGAAGCATTCGAAAAGCAAAAACATTATGGTTGAAAATGGGGGTGTGGAATCAATAATTCAGGTTTTAAGGGAAGGAGTGAAGATCGAAGCTCGACAAAACGCTGCGGGTGCTCTGTTTTACCTTGCATCGGTGGAGGACTACCGGGTTTTGATCGGAGAAACTCCGGGGGCTATTCAAGCTCTAACGGAGCTATTAAAAGACGTTGCTGATCGGAGCAAAAAGAACGCATTGGTTGCGATTTTCGGGCTCCTTATGTACCCCGACAACCACCGGAGAGTGCTTTCAGCTGGGCTAGTCCCGTTGCTCGCGAATCTTCTGAAATCTTTCGATAAAGAAGATCGCATTACAGATTCTCTAGCAGTTCTTGCAACAATAGCAGAGAAACAAGACGGAACGATAGCGATTCTCAGAACTGGAGCTCTGCCCGTGATCGTGGAAATTTTAAATTCCATCGCTTCTCGGGCAGGAAAAGAGTACTGTGTTTCGCTGTTGCTCGCTCTGTGCGTAAATGGCGGAGACAATGTGGTTCGTGTTTTAGTAAAGAACCAATCTCTCATGGCTCCATTATATTCCCTCCTCACTGGAGGCACGTCTCGGGCGAGCAAGAAAGCAAATTCACTCATTAGAATCCTCCATGAATTCCAGGAAAGAACCTCTTCCAGTCCGATGACTCGGGCTTTGCCCCGGGATCGATTCATCCATGTTTGGTAGTATATATATAATCATCGTGTCCATGTGAATACATGGAGATTTGTTTGAGTGAAATTAGCTCTGTTTTTTTTTTCAAGAGCTAATTTTTACTTGTGCAGCTTCTGTTTTTTTGATGAAGCATTGTACAAAATTATATACAGTTGTAATCATGATACTTTTTTCTCAGTTCAATAGCAATAAGATCGTGTTTTGGTGTAAAAATTTCATCACCAACAAAAGCAACCACCATTGTAAAGCTTCACCTGCAGTCCCTTACATTTTGCCGCTTGAGTCATTTTAATTCTTATAGTTTTAATTGATTCAATTCTAATTCTTAATTGTCCAATTGATAACACTATTAAGGTTTTGGACAAAAAAATTTCACTAAATTGATCGGTGTTAAGTCACTGAATTTATCATGTTTATAATTTTATTTATCAAGTTATTCATGCGCGAATTTATCATTGAAATTGCCAACATTTAGAATTAATTGGACCAATTTGAAACAAAGTGAAAATTAAAGTTTAAAATCAATCCAATTGAAAGTATATAAATTAAAATGACACCAGAGACAAAATATAGGGACTAACAGTGTATTTTGTCTCTTTTTTCCCACAAGCTGATTCATAGTGCTTGCCGGTTCTGGTTCTGTTTTTTCTGTTTTTCAAATGAAGTTTAGTACACAAACTCATTCTTTCATGCTAACAACAATCATATCATGTATGGTTGCTAAAAAGCTTCCCATTGATGAACAGTCGCCGTGCACGAGATTCTTGTCACTAAGGGATTGAGAAGGATCGAGATGTAAGGCAGCCTTACCGTTCTCTGAAATTAGGGAACAAGAAGCTTCACCATTGATGAAATCTCTAGAGCCTTCTCTAATCTTTCAACCACTTGTTCCATGGACGGTCGTTGCTGCTTAATTCCGGTACACGACAAAGCCAACTTGAATACGAGCTCAAAAGCTTCAACCGAGTACTCCCCGTTGAGTTTAGGATCAGCAAATTCTGTTATTTTCCCACCCCTTGTGAGAAATTTTGCCTGGGAATTAAGCAAAGACAAGCACATGAGGGAGAGTCAGAAGGATTAAAATTCAATTAAACAGACACAATTCGGAAACATATGAAAATATTTTTAAATAAAAACTAAAACCTATATAAATGTTAAAGCATTCTTAATAATTAAATAGTTGAACATGATGTATGTTAGAATAGTTTTAGCTTTATCATTATTACTTGTATAGCTTTATGTTAGAATAGCTTTAGCTTTATCATTATTAATTGTATAGCTTTACTTTATGCTTTCGGTGGTGGTAGTGGGTTCTTTGGTATCCAATGCCCATATTTCTCTCTATAAAGAGAGACTTCATTCTCTTTGTAAATTAATGCATATACAAACATTTCAGAGTCTCTCTCTCGCTCTATAGCTTCTCTCACTCTCTCAAACTAATCTTTCAATGTAGTTTGCTTCTTTATCTAAAATTCGAATGAGATCTTTGAACATTAAAAACTCATAACACAAAAATTCAAAGGGTTAGTTAGGGAAAAAACCGTAAAAAATTGCTTAATTCGAGTCAAAGAAAGTACTTTATGGTAATAAAGGAATATCATAAGTGATTAATTATGTTTTTTTTATCTTTTCCTCTCTATCACTACTGTTCTCCTTTCTAATTCCTTAGATTTTCTAATAAATACAAAGATTGATTTATCTTTTCTTTTGACAAAAAGGTAAACCAAAAAGACCATTGTTGAATGTTCCTAGTAAGTAGTATTGAAACAACTCATTGTCTCAACATGTTTCGTAGTATTATGGTGTCATTCGATGAGGATATTAGTGTTTTGATATTCTACGAAAGTTTTGTTTCAATTGTCCAAAAAATGAACACATTTCGCAGTTTTGATAGAAAAGAAATTGCAATAGCTGAGAGAAAATTTTGTCTCACCAGTTTCTCAATAGGCATTGGTTTGTTCAAATCCAAATTGATTACCCGCTGCCCGGAGAGGATTTGGAGAAGTACTATTCCGAAACTGTAAACATCACCGGAGGAATTAACACGGTGGTTCTTTCGGTACTCAGGATCCACATAACCAAATGTTCCTCTCACTTCTGAGCTCACAAAGGATTGGCCCATGTTCATCACTTTAGATAATCCAAAGTCAGACAGTTTCCCTCGAAAGTTACTACAGATGAGAATGTTTGTTGGCTGCCAAAAGTAGACAATTTAAGTTCAGAAAATAAAATCCATGAGTTGGAATTTTAAGTGGTAAATGACTGGGAAGGAAAGACAAATCCACCGAGCAACCTCCGGGAGATTGGGAGGAGAATAACAAGTCCCCTGAAGGGCCAATATTTGACATGTGAAACGCATCCTAATAACGGTGATCGACAAAAGTGGAAACAGGCCCGAAGAGTGAATTACTCTCCAAGCAGACAAAGTAGGGTACTAAGGGGGGCAGGCTGCACAATACGGAATAGCATCTGGTTTGTCCCCTCAAAGTAGCCCAGTGTTAAGAATTGATACACCTAACTAGGATCAGTAAAACACAAAACACAAAACACAAATCTAAATCAAGTACAAAAGAGTACAATGATTTACGTGGTTCATTTTAAAATAGGCTACATCCACAACTGCTTTGATTTCACTATGATCTAAAAGAGCGGCACTTCAACTATATAATACATAGTATGAGGACAATATGGCAAAACTATGAAATACCAAAAACACCCTTAATTTGGATGGTTAGTGTTTACTTATCAAAATCCACATTACCCAACACCCAGCAGAGTTGACATCTCTGATGGAGAGAAATTACTTGATTTGTATAAAGAGGAGTTTGATATTGAAGAAGGATACAAACAGAACACCCTAAAAGCTAATAGTCCTAGTTATCTTCCTTCACCACCTTGCCAAGTAACTAACTTGACAGTCAGAGTGCCCTCCAGCCGATATTTATCAGCCGGGCAGTTCCAACAAGTTTGTATTCACACAAGGATCATAGGCTTGTGAGGTGTCATCTTGATTTCTACTTTATGTAAGGAATTTTCCTCAGCACAGTGGTAAATGAGAGAATTTTTTTAGTCTTTTTTAAATTCACAATATTGAGCCTACCTTAATATCTCGGTGTATAATGGCACCTTCGGGGTATGTGTGGAGAAACCAGAGACCCCTAGCACAATCAACAGCGATCTCAAGTCTTTGGCTCCAAAACAAAATCTTATCTTTACCTGTTGTTCATCATTGAATCCCCATTAAAAATATTTTAAAAAAATAAATGACTGAAAAATAGATAAAGTTGACAAATGGAGATAGTAGGGTACCAAATAGCCACCCTGAGAGGTTCCCCTTGTGACAAAGCTCATAAACTAGAAAACACTCATCTTCTCCCTCACAATGTCCCAACAAAGCTACGAGGTTCGGATGTCTGACATGAGATAGGCTTCTAACTTCCCGGACAAATGTCTCCATTTGTCCATCGTTGAGTATGTGCTTAACTGCAACATGCTGACCATTTGATAGAATGCCTTTGTACACCTTCCCTGGTATAAAATAATTATAATAATAAATAAATAACAGAAATCGCCCAAAAATCAAACTTTTAAACACAAAATTCCTTAATTTATGTTACTTTAGATTGAGGTTTATATATCAGAAATGCAAATATGTAGTGTAGATATGGCTTTACCTCACACCTGTTCTCCTAACATGGTTTTTACACAGTGACACATTTTTAAACCAGTATTCTGAAAAATGAGCAACATTACACCTTGCCAATCAAGTAAAAACAAAAGCTATTTTTTCTTACTAGTTGTGTTCATTTCTGGAGTTTGATTGGCATACGGTGCCTTCTCCTCCATTTTATGAGCACAACAGTTTTGTTAACATCCTAATTTGCTGCCACAACTTCGATAGAACAACCAATTTCCCATAAACTTCTTTTCTATGCTTATTATTATGTTGTTTGATGTTAATCTGTGAAGGTTTTGAGCTTCTTCTAGGCTTCTCTGTCTCTGAACATCTTGAATTTACCAATCCTGAATTCTTGATTAATAAAACACAAAAGCGAAGCTAGTAACCTCCATGAAGGAAATAACTACTTACCAGCTATTCCTTGTCCAATGAAGTTTGATTCACTAAGATTGTTTGTTGCAGCATAAACTTCCTTAATTGGTATCTTCTGACTGCTGGATTCATCAGCTAGTAAATAACTTGATGCTGTCAAGCAAAACAAGAACAAGAATAATGTAATTTTATTTATTTTTAATTTCCAGATAAGCAATTCGCAACTGTGATCAATCAAGAGCAATACCAGATTTTTGTTTGAAGAATCGTGGTTTTATAGATTTCCTAAACAAGATCCACGATGCAACAATCACAATAACGATAATCCCCACAATACCTCCTCCAATCAGAATCCATAGACCTGAAATCATAAACAAAGTTGTGAAAAATTGGACAGCATAAACAAGGTGAAAATAGTAGATTTGCAAAAGTAGGATGACTAATGTGGTGATTAGATCACCTGTGTTGGCCTTCTTTTTTACTCCAACTCCTTGACCATTTGCAGAAGAAACTGGATTGCCTATAATTGATCAAGATTTGAACAACAATATCAAACGACAAAGATGATGCGTCACAAAATAAAAGAAAAATGAATTCAAATATGCAAAAATCTTGTTTTACTTTTACCAACTGGATTGATTATAATCGATCATGATTTGAACAACAATATCAAATGACAAAGATGATTCATCAACATTGACAAAGAAAGGGAAAATGGAATTGAAATATGCATAAGTCTTGTTTTTCTTTTACCAATTGGAAGGCTTTTCTCTCCGAGGCATTTATATACTGCCTGGATCCATTTCTCATTGCCAATCCTACTGCTTGTCAACGACACAAGCACTGCAAACCTGCAAATGTCAGCTTCAACTACAACCGGATCTCTGCTATTGTTTGATGACACGCCCATTTCTTCCCAACTCCTCAAACATGTGCTGCACGGTTTATCCGATTGGTTATCCAAACCTAAATTCTTGCAATCTTCATCAAAAGTTGTTAGCCTGTTTCCAAGATTATTGACAACATCTGGAACAGAGTAGTCAGAGCATCCACCAGCTCCACTGCTCAGCTTCTCGATGCCACAGTTTAGAACATCGCCCTCGACACTCTTCATTGAAAGTAAGCATTGAATTTGCCCGGTGGAATTCAAGAATATTTGTCCTGTTTGGTTGGCCCGCTGTGCTAAAGCTTGAAGATACCCGTCAAAAGCATTTCCACAACAATTGTCATTCAGAAAGCCGCCCCAATTGCCTTGTGTGCAATTTGAGCCATTCCCTGATGAGGAAAGTTGAATATCTAGAATGCAATCACTGTTTGGATTTTGGGAAAGTACTAAATTAATGGTGGTGAATAAGGTGAGAATACATAACATGGAGGAACATTTTTGATACATTATTGCTTTAGAAATGTGGAAATTCAACAAAGATATATAGTCATGGAAGGTTGATTGTCTAGAGATATTGAAGAGTAAATAAAAAATATGGGATCATATTCGATCATACTTTTCATTTTCAAGAAAAACTCCATTGCAGTGGCGTGAAAAATCGGTTTTCTCAAAACTGGAATGTCATATAGATTGGAAATATCAACCACAAGAGAGAGAAAGAGACCGTAGTTATTATATGAACTTGATGTATATAGAAGGCAAATGGCTCAAGGGGTGAGGAGTTAGTAGAATAATAGTTGTTTGGTATCTGAGAAAATTATGTTATGCCAATTTTCAGCATGGTTTTGAAAATGATTTGACAAAGTCCTTTTGCATCATCCAAATAGATACTAATTTTTGAACCAACATTTTGTATATTGTCCCCATTGTTGACGAGAGAAAAAGGACAATTGCCGGAGAGGGAAAAGTCAAGAGGAGTTAGGATGCTGAGGTTGGTTTCTAGTTTAGTTTAGGATAAATTACACGACCCTCCCTCGACAGTTGGCATAATTACACCTACATCTCATTAATATGAGATAATTATATTGCACTCCCCTCAAGCATGTTAGATGAAGAGTGTTACTATTAGCATCCCATCAATTACTTTGGACCCCCAATTTTTTAGTTTTTTTTATTACAATAATAACCTCAAATGAAATTAATACAAAGAACATCAATAATTTTGGAGCACCCCATAATACAATTAAGCCTACACACCCATTACATCATGAGTTAGGGTTTATAAGAGCACCTACCTTCATCACCACCCATCCATCTTCCCCAAATCCCACCTTCAAAACCTACGCACGCTCAAAACCTTAAAAACTCTTTGGCAACAATATTCAAGTGGTAACGGTGACAACTATTTGATTACATACATTTCTCCGACAATGACAATGAGTGAAATTTTTTTCGGCAACCACAACTCCATGAAACGAGAGCAGTACAATAATAAAAACTCAGAAGAGATTCATAACTTTGATGATGTTCTTAGTTCAGAGAAGATTGGCTTTGGGTAAGTTTCTTTAAAAAAAAGGCAAAAATAATAAAAAATATTCGTCATTTTTTCGAAACTGAACTCTCAAACATATGACTGAAATTTAGGAACACGAGGCTGAAGATTGTCTATTTGTTTGAGAACAAGTAATCGAATATTTCTTATTTGTTCGGGAACAGATAACAGCAAAAGCAAAAGCAAGCGCAAGCGCAAGCACAAGTAAACAAAGGAAGTCAGACCACCCTTGGGTGGTCGATTAAGGGGTCGACCCCTTGGTTGACCAGTGGGTGAAATCTTACCCAGTTTTGCTCACATGAAAAGCATACATGTACAGTGAGGCCATGGATGAATGACAGAAAACCAACTAGAGAAGCATGAAAGTGGATTATGTTGTGTGTGTGTGAAAAGAAGTAATAGAAAAAAAAAATCAAACAGATTGACAAACCTCGTAATGAAGCAAAGAAAAAATTTCTTAATCACCATAAATTTTTTCCGCTGATTTTGGGAGATTCCACCATTGTGGGTTTTGTTAGGGTTTTAGAAGATAGGCTTTTTGGGGATATGGGGGGGTGTGGGGGTGTACATTTGAATGGGTGGAATGTTTTTACAAAAATAATTTTGGTATTATGTGGAAAGAGAAAAGAAATTTTAAAGGTTTTACAATTTATAAGTGGAGTTCAGAGAAATGGGATGTCCAAAATAATTGATAAGGTGCTAATAGCAGCACTCTAGAAGAATTAATAGATTATAAGATTATAGAATTAGTAAAATGACAAAATTATCCTTATATAATTCTCTATCTTCTCATTTCTTTTTCTCTCTCTTCTTTTTTTCATTTTCTTTATTTTTAACTTCTCTGTATTTTCTCTACTCCCCCCTACATAACCAACCCCTTCATTTTTTCCTCACCTCTCTCCATAGTTTCTGGTGATCCCATTACAATCAGCTTACAGCCCCGTCACCACCCTTCTTTTTTGCTACCTCCATACTACCCACAACCCCATCACTACCAAAAACTTCACACCATCACTACAAAGCACTAGTAACACAAAAGGTGCGCACAGTCAGGGCTGGCCTAACTTTTATTAGGTCTAGACAAATGTCACAATCCAAACCCGTCCCTTAAGGTTTAGCGTCGTAACCGGCCAGTAATTCTCGGATTATCGAAGGCCTCTAACCTGAATAACAACTATAATGGGCTAGTGGAAACAAATATAGAAACATACGTAGTCCATAGAGTTGTGTAAACATATATGAGACAAACAATTAAAACTGATATACATAAACCCACATATGACGTCATTTACATATCTATTCTTCATCGTCATAATACAAAGTAAGGCAAAAGAATTGTTTACAAAACAACAAAAGTTCACAAAACTCAACCACTAAACTCTTTTCGGAACCTCCTTGGGAGACACAATGGTTGGTCGACAAAACAGAGACTCCATGTCATTAACTCTGAATCTGGTCACGTGTCTGGTCACCTAAAACAGAGTAAAGATTTTAATGAATGATGTCCAGTTTCATATCATATCCATCAGAGATAAGCATAGTCGTATAAAAAATAGAGCCATGTTCATATTCGTATTCAAATCACGTGTGGTACATCTATTAGCATTAATATATCACTTTGGTCAAGCATATCAAGTTCCATAATGGAACCTCCGGTACTGGGTAACACATCTCATACATGGGCCACGGCATTATTTCCCCCGGGCGAGGGCCTGGCCACGACATTCTTTCCCCCGGGCAAGGGCCTTATGACCATAAGCCTTAGTATTATATCCCCTGGGCGAGGGCCTCTGCTAAGGATACCACAAATACTTGTCAAAGATATGGATCATCATTCATGGAATCACAAAATAGCCTTTTGTATCATTTAGAAATAGCTCATATCATATCATAATGTCCAGAAAGTACTTCATATAAAATATAGCTTTACTACGTTGTTACTCATTGATAGTTGCACAGATAACTTGATAGCAACCAATGGATCAACAGCTCACGGCGCGTGCCCTACACAAACATAACAAATACACATACTGAAACATGCTCAGAACGTACTTAACTTATTTCATTTCGTTCTTCGTGTATTTGTAAGTCTTTTCCTCATTATTATGTCTTAATCTTGACCTAGGAATGCCTAGGATGCAATGAGGATGATAAAATGCACTTAAAAACACTTAGGGTATGTTTGGTTTGGTTTTGAGAGAGTAGTTTTTAAAAATTGTTTTGGGGAGATGTAGACGCGCCTGAGGGCTCCCGAGCTCCGCACTGCGAAAAGACGCAAAATTCGTTTGCTCTCTAGGTACTACAGTTCAGACTCAATGTCATGGTTCTGAATCTAATATCACAAAGTGCAATGTGAGACTGATAAATCACCAAAGAGTCCAAATCCGGCAAATCGTTTTGGAAAACTGATTTTTATAAAGAAGTGCTAAACATGAACTGCTTTACCAGATACAGAGTCGCCACCTAAATATTTTATTTTGGGGGAAATTTAGGAAACCCTGACTCGTGCCGAAGGCTACGTGTCCGTCATCACCAAAGTTGGCTCGGCTCAGGAACTTGGGTACGAGAGGAGAAGGTCATGCAATGAGCACCCCCGTTCGCCCGATCAAAGATCGACCTTTACTAACATGATATTTTGTTTTTGAAAACACATATGTTCTTATTCCGGTTAATTAGCTAATCTTATTACGTGATGCGCACAACATACAAGTATAGACTAGATCGCCTAATTTGGAACAAAACATTGCACGTTCGTTTGTGAAAATGATTTGAAGTTTGCTACTCGCAAGTAGGATAAATCGGATATTTGATGAATTGTTCCAATTCAAGCAATCCAACCTTCACCTACAGGCATTTAGGCAATTATATCAATTAAGTAGTTAGCCTCATGGCAAGCATGCTTTCATGGCAACATTAACACACATACAGTATGCTAAAGCGTAAACACTCACAGTGTACTCCGAGCCAAAACAAAGAACTAATTAGAAATCATGCATGATCCTAGTTCATGTTAAGATGGCTAATGTAACACATGCAAAATGCAACTAAGATAGGCTCGGCTATCCTAAGATGTCATGTGAAATGCAGCTTGATAGCATGCTGTTGAACACGTATTCAAGTAAATGTATTGAAAATACAATGCAGTTAGTATGATGCGCCAAGCCCGGTGTATGCAATACAGATGAATGATGCACACATGCGAGCATAAGGTATGCTAATTGAAACATGCCCTAAAACTAACCATCGTAAGCAATTAAGTAAAAGTGAGAAAGAAATGGGGGTTGGAAGACATGCATCACACACACTCACGCTTGTTACAACAATGTGCCCTCTCAAGGGAGGGATCAAAATAAGAAGCTAACTAGCTAGCCTAAGCTAATTAAACTAATTATTACAAAACAAATTGAAATAGCTAATGCATTAACTATTAAAGTACAAAACAAAGCATAAGCTAGCTATCTAAGCATGACAGCTAAGGAAAGCAATAAAACAGGAGCCTCGAGGCGAGGAGTTTATGTATGCCCAGTCGCTTCGTTTGGAAATCCAATACGATGCCCCGATTTGCCTCTGTTTTCATTTGTTCTCAGAACACTGCACCAAGCTCCAATTTTCTGCAACAAAGAGCAAGAAAGGGCATGACAATGTATTTGTAAGATATGTGTACACAACCACCCTCCCTATCATGTTATGAACTCAAGGGAGCGCGGTTCTCGACCCTCGGGCCACCAATTGCGCATTTCAATACATGATGGTCGAGAGGCGAAGTTGTACAATTCAATATGAAATGAATGCACAAGTAAACACATAAGGCCTAAAACTCTATCATGCATGATCAAGAGTGTCGGCGATCGAGAATTGAGGCACGTTTCATCACTTCAAGTATGAAACATCCCTCGTTTCTCGTGTTTGGACAAACACTTATTCCAAACGCAATGCAACACATAACATGGCATACACAATGCAACTGAAGCATGCAACGCAATGCAATACAACTTAAGCATGCAAACATACAAGGGACAAATATGCAAACATGCAATTAGTATCCTAGCATACACAATGCTATGAACTACATGGCATACACAATGCTCATGACAACTAGCATACGCAATGCAATGAACATGGCACACTCAATGCAATGTGACCTAGACATGCTCAATAACATGGCATACTCAATGCGATGAACTATATGGCATACACAATGCACGATGGACTTAAACCAAAACGGATAGGCCTCAACCATGCCCAAATTAGTTGCCATAATGATG